TGCATCTGAACCTAAAAAAAAAAAGAATATATAATCATTATTTATTAAAAATTAAATTAATTCAAAAAAAAAAAATGTATATATATAAATAATGATCGATAATAATAATGATTTTACTTTACCATCTCTAAAGAACCTCTCAATACACCACATAATATATTGGAATACCATATTTCACTAGCTGCTTCTTCATCAGGTAATTCCACAAATTCGGCCAAAGGATTTTCATCAAAAATGAGTGAAAATTCCTTTTCGTTGGCAGACCAATTCGCTAATGTTGGTGTAATATTCAAAAACATTTTGAATCCAACCTATTGTTTTTTTTTGTTTTTTTTTTTAATAAAAGTTCCTGAAAAAATGCAAATATGTAAATTTCGATTATTCCCATTATTTATATATATATATACACTAAACCTTGGCAATTACGTCTGCGGTTTCTCGGAAATTTGAACAACGTCCCAAACTTGACCGAGCCAGAAAATCTTCAATCAATCGAACTCCGATATTATAACCCCTTTTAGGATTGAATAAAGAATTTTTTTTTAAAAAAAAGAAAGGATCATTGGTTGAGTTACAGTCTTTCTAGGATAATTTTTTATAATGCATTAAAGAGAAGATAATAAAATTCGAACATTTTTTCCAATTGTTTATTCACTTCTTGATAATCCTCATAATCTTTAACAAGTTGAGCGACAATTGAACCATATGTTAACGTGAACAGTTCAGCATTCTAGTTCAAGAATTATGCTTAGTTTATGATCGAGAATTTTTAAAAATTAAAGCTTTTTAAATATTTACAATCTTTTCAACTCGATTCTTCCACAATTCCTCCCCCTGAGATTTAGTCTGTTTTGACATTTTTTTAAAGTTTCAACAAAAAAAAAAGATTCAGATTGTGATCTTTACAGTGTATAAGAAAGGCTTGTATAACAGAAATCCAGTGATTTTTTTATTTAAACGGTTTCGTTTGAATAAAGAAAATGTACTATGTAAACAATTTCCTTTTCAAAAAAAAAAAATTCCCTAATATAGTATTCCCACACTTGGAAAATTTATCTCTCTACTCACCGACTATAAACATAGTAATTGTCAGGGGATATTATTTCTACA